AGCGGTCGCCCGCCAACGAGGGGCCTGGCTGGCGGCAGTGCTCAGACTGTGGGGAACTGCCCACTGGACTAACGGGGTCTCCGCCTGCCCCCTGTACGCCAATCCTCGCTGCCTTCCTGAGAGCCGTTAACCCCCCCGACCATTTGAACCGCATCGTAGGACGCCGCAGCTCGCGCAAGACGCTGATTGGATGATCTGCTCGCGCCCTTATTGGTGTTAGGGGGGGTTACACCGCGTGTCAGGACCTAGTCATTCCTTGGAAAGGGAGGGGTGCGGGCAGAAGCATAGGATGGTTTAACCCGTCCCATATCCCCCTTCTCAGGCTCGAGCCCTCTGACCAGGCCTCTACCGTTACACGCGCGCGCCCCGCCAGGACCCCGCGGGCTGGCCGTAATAATGCCTGAATCTAGGATTCAGAGAGTTGCCTCGGGGTTCCTAGTGCGCCCCGTAATCTGGCCCAACGCGCCTACCAGATTTTTTTGTGAGGGGAAGAAGCGATATTGGCCGATGCTGCCCTTTCGGGCTTGAGGGTCTTGGTGGGATTTCTGTGCTGGCGTTTGCTCCTGGAGGCCGCACACGCCCTGGCGCGAGGGGGCGGGTGTCGGGTCCTGACGCTGGGGAAAACCCGCCAACTTTCCCGTTGTGGGGAGCACGGAACTGGGGCGCCCTGTAGTCACCATAGCAACCAGGGAGGGTGGTTCGGGGAGAGCGTGCCCCCTCCCGGCGGCACTCGGAGCCAAGCGAAGATGTAGCGGGTGAGGAGACGCGGCGCTGGCCGGGACCCTTTCCCCCCAGGAGTCAGGGGACTTACCCCATCCCTTGCGGGTCGGGGGTGCGGAGCGGGAAGCTGGGGGAAGGCGCCCCCCTCGCACTGTGGGGCCGGTGGAGTTTTGGGGCTTTCTCTTCCCGCTTCAACATGTGGTTCGGGAGCCGGTAATTGTTTCCCGCTCTAGCGGCTCTTACGGATCCCGGGGGGACGACACACGTACTATGGGGGGAGGCTCGAGAGAATGGCTGGCGTAAAGGGCTTAGTCTGGAAGTCTTACTAACTGGGTGCGCCCTGGGCCCTGTGGGAACCAAGTGGTGCCGGGCAGCGGGCGCCTTCCCGCCTCTGGGCCAAACCCGCAGGCGGGGTTAATGATCGCAGAAGATGCTATGGCTGGGCGGGCTTCCCCGGGACTAAACTTCAGCAGTCCCCGCTCCGGGGTGGGTCCGGCCAGCCCGTTCATTGATTGCTTGGCTTCTCTGCTGGAACTACCAGGGTAGCCTGTGTCTGCTGTGAGGCGGGCACGGGCTGCAGCCCCTTTCGGACAGGTGTCGGGACACAGCCAGGAGAAACTTCCTGGTTTTGGTCACTGCCTGTCCCCCGCTATCTAATGGTGAAGGTGAAACGGCTCTTGCCCGCTCCTGTCTGAGCTGCTAGAAAGTACTGTCAGGAAGTTGTGTTGCATGTACGGCGGCATCCCATAGTAAAAGTAAATGTAACATCTATTTGACAGGTGTAACTGCTGATTGCAGCTTTCTGATCTTATTCCCCATCCCCATTATTATTTGTGAGGAGAAAAAAATGCCAGGTGTATTACCGACTGACACGGCTGGGCTTTTGAGAGGTAGCCCGTCAAAGAAAAACAGGCTTTCCCTGAAGCTTTTTCAAAAAAAGGAAACTAAAAGAGCACTGGATTTTACAGATTCACAAGAAAATGAACAAAAGAGTTCAGAGTACAGAGGCTCAGAAATGTATGTAAGAGTTTAAGATTTTTTGATTATAACATAGCATTCTAATGAGTATTTTTATGTTGTACCCAAAATGGACACATGCGATTTAAAATCGTTTTAATAAATGGATGTCTTATCAACTTGACTACTGAAAACTTAACTATTCTGTTTGCTGCACTGCTCCAACAGAGAATAAATTTCACAAATTAAAGACATAATCTTGCCTGTACAGTGTATTAACATCCATCATAAGCGTTAACTCAATCACTTCATTTTCTTAAATTAGGTTTCAAATAACAGTTATTTGAAAAAGCACAGCGGAGTGGGAGGGGACCCAGTGCAAGCTGGGACAGTTGATTCCTGGCTCATGCAGGGTCCTCCCTGCTGATTCAGCCTTTTAAATGTTGAAGTGCAGCGGGTACCTGGCCTGAGCTGAAATCAGCTGTCTTGTGCCAGGTCCCCCCTTCTGCGCACCAGCCTTTTAAAGGTATTAAGATCCAGTAGGCTCTTAATACATGTAAAAGGTAGAGGTGCAGTGTCTGGGACTGGGTATGAGCCAGGAATGAGCTGATTCCAGGCTCGCACCTGGTCCCTGCTTCCTCCCCTGCCCTCCACGGAGACAGTGCTGGGAGGAATCGGCTTTTAAGTTGGTTCCCCCCAGCACTGGCTCCTGCTCCTCTCCTTTGGTGCCTCTGATAGGGTACGTCTAGACTGGTGGGTTTTTCTGGGATCCCGGAAAAACTCCACCACGTGCAGGAAATGAATTTGCTCTTTGTTCTTCCGCAAAAAAAGAAAAAGCGAAACACGCTTTTTCAGGGAGACCTGCATACTTTGTTCTATGAGGAATAAGGACTCCGCTGAAAGAGGAGGCTTTTCTGCCATCTGGCCTGTTCTAGATGGCCATTTTCTGTCATTTGGCCCAGAAAAGCAATCAGAAAAAGCGCCGCAAATTGCGAAGCACAATTTGCATAGCTTTTTCTGATAAGAGTATAGTCTAGACCTAGCCATAGAGGCGGTGGGAGGGGGAGAAACGACTAATTGAGGGACTAGTCAACTATCCAATAAGCTTTTGCTTATTGGATACTTGACTTAGTTGGTTACATCCCTACTTACTACAGCAATACAGTGTGTTACTAGTCTAATGTTTCTAAACTAACTTTTGGTTGCTTCTCTATATAATGGACTGGATATTTCCAGTTGGTTGGTGTGCAGAAATTTCTGTAATGATACTCTCTTGGTGATGGGAGGGAGCAGGTTAGAATGAAAAGTATATGCTGGTATTAGTTCTGCAGTAACTATAAGACTATAACTCAAACATTATAGAAAATCATTACGGTTCTTTTTCATATTGCTTTGAAAGACTTCAGAAAAAACTAACTGACCATGTGTAGCACATGGACAGGGCCCAACCAAATTCACGGTTCATTTTTCTCAATTTCAGTTATAGGATTTTAAGTTATATACAATTTTTCATAATTTGTTATTTAAATTGGAAATTTCATGGTATTGTAATAGTAGGAGTTCTGAGGCTGTAGAGAAGGGTGTGTAGGTTTTGTAAAGTTATTTATTTATAGAAGGGTCATGGTACTGCTTGTGAAATCTGGATAGCAGGGGTCTCAAACTCCTGCAGCCAGGGGACTGCAGATGGGTAAGGGACTGTTGCTACCGCCCTGCATCAGGCCCTCTCAGTAATTCCTAATGCTGCATCCCTCAGGACGGGGTGCAAGCAAGAGAGAGGGTGGGGTGATGGCAGGAAGGGACAGAGCTTGGGGGATGGGAAAGGACAGTCCTTCCACCCAGCAGGACTCGTGGGCCAGATTCCTGCTCCAGTTGGGGATGGCCTGTGGACCAGGAGTTTGAGACTTCTGCTGTATCATCTCACACCACCAAATTTCATGGGAGTAACAACATTTTATAGTCTAGGATGAATTTTTCACGGTCATGAATTTGGTAGGGCCATCCACATGAGTCTTGTACTATTCCTAGAACAGTCCTGCAGCACCTTAGAGACTAACAAAAAAATGTAGATGGGATCATGAGCTTTTGTGGACACAACTCACGTGAAGTACCAGAGCTGCTGCGGCAAGAGGGGGTGGGGCCGGCTTAAAAGTTTCCCTCAGCACCATCTCTGCGATGCTGCCTGCCATGCCACCCCAACCACTGTTGCCTCTTGGAGAGGCAGCATGGCAGGGGAGGCTGCCTGCTCGGACTCCCTGCGGACAGGGGCTGCTTGACCTGGTCTGAGCTGGGACTGAACAATCCTGGCTCAATCCCAGCTCATGTCATAAAATTCAGGTGCGCAGAGGTGCAGTGGGGGTAGTTCCTGGATCTGGCGGGAGCTGGGATTGAGTCAGGATTGCTCAGTTCCAGCTCTTGTTGAGTCTGGTACCTACCCCTGCTGCGCCTCTTAGTTTAAATGCAGAAGAAGCCAGGCTGCTTGAGGCCTGGCTCTTAGCACATTTAAACTGCACAGCTGCAGCAGTGGTAGCTCCTGGACCCAGCCCGAGCCGGGCCTGAGGAAGTCTTCCCTTATCAACTAATAATATAGTTGATAAAACTTTTATCGACTACACGATTAGTTTATTACCTGCCTTTTAATTCCTTAATATGCATGCAGTATTCAAAATGTGGGCATACCAGGGATTATATGATTCCTAACATTGTTTGGTTTTTTGACTGCTGCTACATATTGATGTTTTCAGAGAATTATCCACAATGACTCCAAGATCTGAGCGGTAATATCTAATTTAGTCCCCCTCATTTTGTAAATATAGCTGAAATTATGTTTTCCAATATGCATTAATTTGCATTTATCAACATTAAAATTCATCTACCATTTTGTTGCCCAGTCACCTAGTTTTGTGAGCTCCTTTTGAAGTTGTTCAGTCTGCTTTGGACTTAACTATCTTGAGTAATTTTGTATCCTCTGCAAGTTTTGCCACTTCACTGTTTACCCCTTTCTCCAGATCACTTATGAATATGTGGAACATGATTGGTCCCAGTACAGACACTTGCGGGACACCACTAATTACA